TATTTATTTATTTATTTATTTACAGTTTTATCCCTCCCAGCTAGTGACTTGTGGGAGAAGAGGCTCTGTCGAGAGAGGTTAATGCTAGCACTACAGACATGCCCCCTCAATTTTTAAAACAGCGTGTGCATGGGAAAAAGCCCAGTTGAACCCTCCCATGATGAAAAGGTTGTAGCCCTCTAGAGGCATAGAAAAAAAATCTGCTTTGGCAGAAAAAAAGCTGGACCACTTTGAATCAACCTTGTACATCATACAGACAGTAAAAATATATATGAATCAATCCATTTTATAAGCAGAGCAAATCCCATGGTATTTGACCATGCAGTCATCCTTTTAGTGTAATGCACTACTCTGGATGGTTAACAATGATTTTAATCCAGGGCATCCCCTCCCCCATTCCAATCAACCCAATAGTGAAAAATTAAACAAACTAAAAATTAAATAACATGTATCTAAGAGTTAGCCCCAAAACATTGATGATTACAGTAAGGATGGAATAAAATCAAATCTGGCTATCACTTCAGGGAAGGATGTCTCTAAACGCTTCCTTCTAGAGCTCTCTCTTCAGCATCCTTTTAAATGAAGCAACATTTAAAAAATTGGATGTTGTTTTGACAATTTAAATTTAAAAAGCTGTATATGCTGTGTGGACCAAATAGCACACCTGTGACATAAAGTATCTAGAATTACTGGCAGTTTTTAAAGCTATTAAGTGTTTTGAGATGAGGCTAGCAGGAATAATAATAACCAAGAATATAACAGCAATGTACCACAAAAACAAACAAGGAAGGATGCATTCCCTCTCACTACTTGTTGCTGTCCATCTGTGGGAATGGGATATCACCAGACAGATCTTCGCACTAGTGATTCATATGTATGGAGAGGATGATAATCTAGCACAGTGGTTTTCAAACTGGGGTCCCCAGATGTTCTTGGACTACAATTCCCAGAAAACTTTACCACTTGCTGGGCTGGCCAGGATTTCTGGGAGTTTTAGAAGATTTGGGATAATTTCAAGGTACAATTGAAAGAAAGGAAATAGGATGCTTTTGAAAGAAATGTGATGGTTTCATTTGTGAATGGTTAACATTATGTCCATCTGCAAAGAAGATAGAGTGTACCCTTTCTAACTTTGAATGCTAGTGCTGATGTGATCTTGGGGTTAAATATATTGCATGCAGCTAGATCTTATTTTCTTTCTTTCTTCAAAATGAACAGACTGGACCTGATCCAGATATGGACCCCTATACACAGGGAAAAAAGGTTAAACTGTTTCCTCAAGCTATGTCTTCCTAATCACTTACCTGCTAGAATCTGGGGAGGTGGGCAGAATATTGTCACCAAGATGGAATACTCCCAAGGCAGAGTTCTGCCTTTTAGGGTGGAGGTGGAGATTTGGGAGGAAAGAGTTTTTGTTGGGGAAAAGTTTAAACTTCCCTACCAGTTTGCAGAAGTTACTTGTAGGCAAATGCATGTGGAACTTGGAAGGAAGGAAGGAACAAAGACTCAGCTGAACAAGAGGGAAAGAAGCAGACACTCAGGTGAATGCTACATATGAAATGTATCATATAGTTTCATCATCATTGTGTGTTATGTCATGCATATACTTTCTGTGCTTTGAGGGGCTGGAGAGGAAGTGATTCACTTTCAAGGAACCCACTTTCAGAACATATCAATTTAAGACTTCCTTTTTCTGTAAAATATATTGAAAACCTTTGAAGCTATTGAAGTAATACTGATATAATTATTTTCCCCCAGAAACAATGCTACAAGACATTTGTGCAACTTGCTCAAAGAAAAGTTTATGCAATCAATAGAGAAGGTCAACAAATGTAAATATCCCTTAAGAAGTGACTCCTTTTTTTACTGTTTTAAGTTATTATCATCTTCATCATCATCCTTATTATGGTCATCACCATTGAATAGAATAGTTCATAACATCTCCTCTCAGTTTTCCAGAATTGGTAGCACTTCTTGTAGCCCCATAGGAAAGAGAATTCTACATGCTGATTTTTAACTTATAAAACAACAAATTTCGTGTGCTCCATTCAAAATAGGCAAGAGTACATTATTTGATTGATACAACATACAGTACTTTATTTTGTAGAGGAAGTTTGTCCTGTAATAAGAATAGGTAGAAGAGTAATGACTCCTTAGTTATGAAACATTCTAATTCTAAAGACTAACCAACTTTTGAGAA